TCCTATGATAATGCGGAAAGTTGAACTGGCCCCATTACTGCGCTGCGATGGTTGCCTTGATAATGCCCCGATAATGGCAGCGATAGCGGCAGCTCGGTAGCCAATGGCTCTGCCGCTCCTCCCATTAACATTCCCCACCACGGACCGGCTCGGAGCTGCCTATCTGCTCTCCATTTCCACTCCTCCGCTAGATAAGAATGGAAATACTGACTTCATAGCTCACTGATTAAAGTGTCTGGATTTCTTGATAATACACAGATAAATTATGTTTTTCAAAAAGAAGGTAGGGAAGGGAGTGCGAGGGGAGGGAAAAGCCTTCAGTCCATTTTTATTATTATTTTTTTTTCTTTCCCTTCCCTCTTTCTGGCCGTGCCCGGTGGGTTGGGGTTTTTCAGCTCCAAAATGCCCTCCCCAGCCTGTGCCCGGGGTTGGCAGCAGGAGGGCAGAGCCCTGTGCGGTGCCCTTAGCGACGGGGTTTCGTGATGGGCGAAGGATTTTTGGGAGCCACATGACGGGCTGTATTAGCACCCCGCATTGGGATGGAGTTGCTGTCCTTGGATGCCAGGGATCCGCTCCCGTCGCGGGGATGTTTGGCTTCGCCAGCTGCAGCCATGCCGCGGGGCTGCGGCACGTGGCTGGGATCCCGGTGCCGGCTGTGGCATCTTGGGTGGGCTCCGGTGGTCCCCAGGGACCGGCAGCCAGGGCCCGGGGATGCTCGGGAAGTGTCTGCCTTTCTATACCCATCTCTAGCCTGAGCCTTACTGGTCCTGCTGTGGGATACTGCCTGGTCCAGCGGGATGCTGCCCAGTCCAGGATGCTTTGGGACCGGCCCCATCCCCCGGCCCATCTGGGCTTAAAAATTATACTTGAGTTTCCTCACTCGTCCCCGCTGGAGCAAATAGGGCTTCCAGACTTTTTGGTTCCTTGCACTGGAAAAGGTATCGACCGCAAGAATCTAAGTTTGTTTCATCTAAATATAAAACTAAAGAGCAAACAGTATAAAGTTCATTTTTTAATGTGCTGCCCCATTCCAGTTGGGCTGCTCTCTTTATTTTTTTTAAAGGAACTGTGATAAAAAGCAGTGATAAAGCCAGGACTGTTTTGTGTAGGAGTCAGTATCTGCGTTATCTATCTCCCTTTTTCACTCTCTGAGCAGCTCTGTTGTTTTTTACTCTTATCTCGCTCCACCAAAATGCCAAGAACAGGAAAAAAAAAAAAAAAAAAAAAAAAAAAAGAGGCAGCGCAGGCACGCGCGTTTGCACGGAGGCAAACTTGGCGTCCGCGGAGCCGGGCGTGAACAGCCACGCTGCTTGGAGTTGGAGGAAGAGGAGGGTTGGGGGTGCTGGGTGAAGGTGCTGGTGATGGAAGGACTGTGCTGCTGTGGATGCTTGTGCTGGTCCAGCGAAGGCTGCCGGCGGGGGGGGGGCTGTGGCCGTAGGGTTTTTGGGGACAGCCCTGTCCTGGTGGCCCCTGGTGACCTTCATCTGCCAGGCTCGGTGCCAGCAGCCCACTCGGCTTCTTGCAGATGGCCACCCAACCCTGTTGTACCTTCTTAGGGTCCTTTTCTGCTCCTGGAGCCCCCCCTCCCCAGCCCCTGTTCGTTGCTGCAGCGTTGGCTGGAGACCCCAAAAGTGGTCCAGGATGGCACTGGGAGCTGGTGCTGGGCATGCTGGGGGGGCTGGGAGCAGCAGGGACACCCCAGCCGGAGCATCTTCGATGATGGGTCTGGTGGGGTTCTGGGCAATGTCCCCCATCATCCTTGTCCCTGTCCCTCCATCCTTGTCCTCACCTGGTGCCATCATGGACTGAACATCTCAGGCCAGAGGCTGAAATCTGTCCCCGTTCCCTTCCCAGCAGCTTTTGGCAGCGGGATGGACCCGGGAGGACCCGAAACCACTTCCCACGGGGAGGGGGATGGCTCCGGCGCAGCATCTCTGGGGTAATTTGTCGCTAGATTAGCGAAGAGCTTGACCTCTGGCCTCGCCGTCACCTGGTATTGATGGGCTCCGGGGGGGCCATGCCGGCGGGTGAGCATCACCGCCTGCCCCCGGCCATTCCCAGCCAGAATGGCTTTATTCCAGGTGGGAGAAAAAGTACCAGAATTGAGGGGTTTTCACCCAGAAAAACTCCCTTTGGCCAGCAGCACTGCAAGCACCCAGTGCAGGAGCAGCGGTGGCAGTGAGCCTTGCACGCCCATGCCACCTTGCACGCCCATGCCACCTTGCACGCTCGTGCACATTTGGAGCCTGATCTTCACGGATGGAGTTTCCTTCCGAATTATCGGGGTATCCAGCTGCTCCCCAGCCTCGCACCAGGCTGCCCAAACCCTGCCTGCATCAACATGGGGTTAAACATCTCAAACTGCTCTTGGATGGGGATTGGGATGAAGGACACCCCCGGGTCCCCCCCGGTAAGGACCAGTCCCTCTCTGCCAGCTGCAGAGGGGCCCCCCCAGCTGCCTCAGTTTCCCTCCCGTGCTTTGAACATCGTCTCCTGGCCCCGGCTCCCTCGCCAGCCGGGAAGGCAGGACCGCGTTAAGCATCGCATCCCCTTCTCACGGAGCAATCTGCTCCCATCCATCTGATGTGCCGGGGACGGGGACGGCTCTATTAGACTCTCTCCTCTCTTAAAAATCTATCAGGGCGTTATCGACCCCATCTGAAACGTAAAGTCACTTCATTGTCATTGTCCCTGTATTTTCTTTCTCATTATTTTCCCGTGCCCGCCGCGGCCCGTTCCTTCCCACCCCCCCCCCCCCTCCTGTTTGATTTGTTGCGGGCTCTCTCGCTATTAGTATTAGTAATCGCGGCCCCTGAAGTGAAACAATCTCCTGTAATCTATCAGCGGTTTATCGGCCCTATCTGAGCGCCGGGAATGGCTGGGCTCGGCGATGGCGCCATGCTCGGCCGCTGATAAAGTTACAGAGTTCAGGCGGTGATGAATGTTAAGTAACTGCACCCCGCGCAGATAGGATATGGACTTGGCAGGGGGAGCAGCTCCGGCTGAAACCAATCTCTCCCCTATCAGCAGGGCTGCTTTTTCTCAGGCTCTGCTTCTCCCCGGCTCTTTTCTTCCCCGACGGTTACAATCAGGGGCTCCCCCCGGAGCAGAGCTGCTCCGGATCGGGAAGGGATGCTCGGGGTGCTGCACCCCACAGGTGGATGGATGGGGTGTTTCGCATCGCCGGGACGGGGATGCCAGCCCGGGTGTGTTTTTTGCGGTGGTCGGGATGCTGCGGGGTCCAGACGTGAGCATCTCCCCCATCAGTAATTGCAGCATCCCCCTGTGAGCACTCGCAGCAGCATCCTCCCCCACCGTGAGAAATCACAGCATCCCCCACCACCTTCATTCCCCCACTATGCTTCATTCCCCTCCTAGATAAATCGGGCCTCAATACATTATAAATTTAATAATAAATTATTATAATAACCCCCATCAGCAGTCACAGCATCCCCCACCGCCTCTATTCCCCCACTATCCTTTATTCCCCTTCTGGAAAAATTAGGCCTAAATACTTCATAAATTTAATAATAAATTATTATAAATACCCCCCATAAGCAATCACAGCATCCCCCACTATCCTTCATTCCCCTCCTGGATAAATCAGGTCTAAATACTTTATAAATTTAATTATAAATTATTATAAACTCCCCCCAAGCAATCACAGCATCTTCTCCCGCAAGCAATTGCAGCGTCCCACCAGCAATCATAGCATCTCCCACCACCTTCATTCCCCACTATCCTTCATTCCCCTCCTGGATAAATTAGGCATAATTTAATAATAAATTATTACAAATACATTATAAATCCCCTCTTCCACCTACCAGCTCCCCAGACATCTTTTTTTTTTTTTTCCTTGCCCTTTTAACACAGGGCACCGCAGGAAGGGTCAGGGTGAGTTTTATCTGGGGGTGATGGAGAAGGGCCCCGAATTAGAGATAGGTACCGCTGGGGCGGGGGCTGGCCCCAACTGCTATCTGCTCCATGCATGGGGCTGATATTTAATGTGCCAATATCTGCGGGGGGAGCCCAGCCCTGGGATGCTGCAGCTGGGCTGATAGGGGAAAGGGTTGATTTATGCTCAAAAAGGTATGTTTTACTCCAAAACGGGGGTCCGAGGCGGGGGGTCTCGCCCGCCTCGGACCTCTGTTCTTGGAGAGCATTGCAATTTAATGCTGGATCCCAGCAGCATCAACCAAAGGATGGGGAAAAAATAACCCACTGGTTAACGTGATCTCTGAGCACCAGCATCATTTCCCAGCCACCAAAACCTCGTTTGGCCTCAGCCATGGCGCTTGGCATCCCCAATCCCCAGGGAACAGGCTCGAGGGCATCCGAGGTCGTCAGTAAAAGCAAACATTAATACATACTGGGGAAAAATTGGGTGAGAAGAGGCAGGCTGGTGTCCCATCAGATACCGGTGGTTTTTGGATTTGCAGCCCAGCTTGCTCTTTGGGTGTTACTTGCTGCAGGGCACAACCCTGCTACGAGACCCTGGGGAATCCCCGGGCTGTGCCCGTCTCCACCGAATCACCGGAGTTGGTTTTGCAGCTGGTGCAAGGAAGGATCAGGAGTGGCTGCAACCCTCTCCGAGGGCATCTTTCCCTGGGGAATACCAGCCCCCCGTGCCCGCTCCTGCAGCCCTTCGCTTGTGGCTGCAAAATCCGGGGGAAAATAAGGCGGTTTAGGGGCAGCATAAAGGAGGCGATGCCTGAGCCGGATTCCCCACACCTCGATCGCGACGTGATGGATGAGCATCACGGCAGCGCTGGTGGGGAGCCTCACCCGGCTGCTTTGGGGTTGACTGGTTTATTGCTGTTGTTTTTCTGGTTTATTTTTAATTGGAAGATGGACTGAGGGCCAGCATGGGGATGAGGAGGAGGTGGAAGGATGAAGAAAGGAGCCTCCGTCGTCCTGCCCGCGTGGTCCCACCGACCCTGGTGGAGCTGGGGATGTCCCCCGCGTCCCCCCGGCACTGGGGGGGGTGACACCCCGGAGCCGAGCACCCCGGGAACTCGCTGCACCACGAGCATCGAGGTGTCTGTAGACGAGTTTTGGGGTATGAAGCTCTGGCCCTCGCTCCCGGAGCCTCCCCTTGGGCTCACCACCTGCCCAGCCTCTTTATTTTGAAAAATAATAAGTTTTTTGGAGTTGGATGTGTGCCGATGAACGCCAGACAGCGAAGGCAGGTTGCCCCCAGCCTGCACGTGTTTTCGATCCAGGACCCGCTTTCCACCACGGGGACTCCTCCTCCTCCTCCTCCTCCTTTTCCTCCTCCTCCTCCTCCTCCTCCTCCTCCCTGCTCCAGAGCCGGTGGGAAAGTCTGGGGCTGTTGCTATTTTCTATCTGTTATCGAGGCCTCTTATCGCTTTGCTCTTGTCTGTGTGCCGGCTTTTGGAGCGTCCAGGGTCTCGCTCTTGGCAGCCTGGAGAAGTCCCTGCTCCTTTTTTACTTTCTGTATTATTTTTTCCTTTTATTTAATTTATCGGCTAAGCGCAAAGAACCAAGAAAAGGTTTATTGTTCCTATGCTGGGAGAACCTTAATTTGAGTGAAATGATCAAATCATTACCTGGGTAACAATGGGTTTTCCTACCGCTGGCAAAGCCCTGGGAATAACGACCCTCATGCCCGCCCGGACCCATGTCCCCAACCTGCACACAGGTGACATGGGCACGTTGCCTTCGCTTCCTGCAAGTTTTTACTATCGCTGTAATTTTTTTTAAAAAAAGGGGGGGGGGAGGAGAAAAAAAAAAAGAAATCCTTCCTTGTTATCAAAAAAAAAAAAAAAAAAAGAGGGAGAAGTAGGGAGGGAGCAGAGTTAATCGTCGAAGCGGAGTATCTTGGAAGGGAGCATTTTTTGGCTCTTCCCCTCTCTGTAAAGCCAGCCTCAGTAATTCAGTTTTAAAGCATGAAAAAAGGGAGTTGATGAAATTCCACTATCAGCACTGAACCAATATGCAAAATATCTCGCCGAAAATCAAATAGCTATTATGTTTTCATTTCCATTTCAGCGTATTTGCTTAATGAAGAATAGACAGATCAGGCAAGCCGAGGGAGGCTGTGTGCGGTGATAACTGTGCAGGGCTTCCAGCAATCCCGGAGAAGTGACGCTCCGCTCCCTGCTCCACGCTCCCTCCCCCTCTCTTTTTTTTTTTTTTTTTTCCCTTTTTTTTTTTTTTTTAAGCTATCCAGTAGTTCATTTCACCCACACAGCCGGCAGCGCCAGGGCCAGAGCATCCCCTGGGGACAGGCGGGCGCGCTGGGAGCGGGATGCTGCAATGGGACGGGCTGGGTGCGGGGATGCATCCAGGGACCACGGTGACATGGTGCTGGGATGCTGCCGGCCACCCATCATCCCCATAGGCATTCGGTGACGCCGCGGTCCCCAAACGCCGGCTTTTATACAATTTTTATACACTTATGCGGGGCATCCCCATCTCCCTCCTGGCCAGGGCTTGGTGTTTTGGGGTAGGATGCGGGTGGTCTGGGCACCCCTGGGTGGGTGCCACATGCGGTCCCAGCCCCGTCCATCCCTCCCCGGCTCTGTCCATCCCTCCCCGGCCAGGCTGGAGGTGCCAAGCCACGGAGCAGGCGAGAGTCGGGTTAACTTTATCAGAAGCCCAAGAGCCGTGAAGGCGTGAAAGAAGAAATTAGCCTAACAATGTTTCATTTACAGCGAGAGAAACGATTTGTTAGCTGGCGATTGTTTCTGAATATTATCAGAGCCTTTTTAATTGTGCTGGAACTGAAATTAGCAGAATTAGAATAAATTGCCTTCCCTTCTCCCGCAGCCTCTTTATTCACGCTCATTGTTGTCTGCTTTGTATAGATTATGGGCTCTTTGTTCTCCTGCTGTAAATATACATGCCTGGAGTCACAGAGAGCAGCTGAGGTCTGCAGACGGTTTGTCACCGCACCGTTCCCCCTGCCCGC